GGGGGGGGGGGGGGGGGGGGGGGGGACTCCCACATAAAAAAGACAGGGGTGCTCGTCGTACCTTTTAAGGGTTAAGAAAGCGGTTTTGGTACCTGTCAGGGTGTTCAGCCTCAAAAGGTCCACAGCGGGGGCCGAAAAAATACGCCAGGAAATATTTGAAACTCAACTAACTTTTACTTTTGTCTCAGAATTGGTACCTCTTAGGGTAAAAAAAATTTCAAGCCACGCCCACAAAAAAGGATCTTGGTACCTCGTAGGGGTTTTTTCAAAATTTCTGACGAGCACCCCCGTCCTTTCTTTATGGGAATGCTCCCGCGGGGCTGTGATCAACTTCCCTCTTCGGTCTTGTTATGCTCGGAGGAATAATTTCATCGTTTTGTCCGGATGTAAGTGTTTTTAATATTCTCATTTTTTCCCTTTTCGCAGCTTACTGATTTAAGAAATGCGTTCATTTTCACCGTTAAAGGACTCCTCACGTCTCGCTGGAAATCAGAGGTAGAGGAGAGCTGGGTACTGCTGTTCGACTTCATGGCCGGCATCATGATAAAAGGCTACACTGACAAGTATTAAGACGCGTGCGCAGTAAAACCACCCGTTAATTCTCCAGTTGTGTCCTTCAATTTAAGGAGCTAGGAAATTATGATAAATTAAGTCGATTTCTCGAGTACAAAAACTAAGCTTTACATTGAACAAAACCCCCAAAAATTCTAAGATGGAAACATCTCCCCCGGAAAAGCGCGGGGGACTTTCACATAAAAAGGATGGGGGTGCTCGTCATACCAAAGCGGTTTTGCTATCTATTAGGGTGTTAAGCCTCAAAAGGTCCACAGCAGCAGCTCTTGCAGTACCTTCTAGGGTATTGACAGGATATAGTGTTTTGTTTTAGAATTGGTACGTCTTAGGGGTGAAAAACCTGTCCCTTTTATATGGGATTCCACTCCCTGGGGGGAGAAACACTAAGAAGTCTAAACAGTGAGCAATGCAAGGATGGTTATGATTGACCATGACTTTGGAAGATCGAGGAGCTCCTCATAGGACTCCTTACTAGCCTGTGAACAGGCTCCGGATGGAGGGGTCTGACTGCGGTTGGAAGGGTCATGAAGGAACTGGGTGAGAGTGAAGTGGCTGAGGAGGGAATGATGTGGGGGCTGGGGCATATCCCCTCCTCTTTCTCCTCTCCTCTTTCTTCCCGCTTTCTCTTCGCCCCACCCTTGACTAGAGAGCCTTTTCAGAGTCTACTTTTGTACGCAAGAGTAGTAAAAATTATTGTCAGCTATATACATGCGAATGAGGGCACTAAGAAATTAATTATTTTATTTCACATTCATCCACAAGAAATTAAAAAGTGTTCACTTTATGGTGCGGCTTAATTAAATACAATAAATAAAATGATTTGACCAACTGGAAGAGTACACACTGAAGTACAGTATAACCCAAAACAAAGATTATGACAAAACTTGAAGATATTAAATTGACCTAAAAATTTCTTTTTATCCTCTGCTGTGTTTTCAGATCATTTGAATCAGTTGAATAAATAAAAGGAAAACCTGGCACTATTTACAAACAGTGTATTGTATGTTACTTTTTTGTTCTGCCTATGAAGAAATATATTTCAAGCCTGGTCCATTAAGTCTAAGAGCTCATCACCCTTTTCACCTACAAAGAAGATAAACAAAATACAGTTGTAAAATTTACAACTTTTCTGGCTATCAATATTTTAAAAACACAAGCTTAAGACTGCTTAAATTGTGGTCCTCAATGGGTGAAATGATGAAAGAAATGCTAAAAATTCTAAAATGTATAAATATAGTGTTAGAAATTTTAGTGCCTCTTTCATCAATTTCACCTGTTGAAAGCTGCAGCCTAGGCAGTTGAAAGCTTGTATCTTTAAAATACTTTTAGCCAGAGAACGTTTCTAATTGTATTATGAATCACCCTGGCTGCAGTTCTTCAATATTTTCAGAACAAAAACATTTCACAAAGCATGCATATTTCTAAAAAGCTTAACCTAAGTTCCTTTGTCATAGTTGCAGAAATGAAACCTTTAACAAACAATAAAAGAACATAACTACTACCATCTAGTTTTTTGTGTTGAAATATTTGCAAAACATTGCCACTGACTCTGTAAAGAACGTACTGGCTACTAAATAACGAGTTTCACTGTATCATAAATTAATTGTTGGGAGACTTTCCAGTGCTAAAAAGAATAACTTGTGAAAAATGTTTCAAAATACAAACGAAATGTGCAAGGAAAAGTCGTACAATTGAATTTGTACACCATACTTTATCTGTCTAGACCTCTCAAAATTTGTGGCAACCATTGATTACATTGTTTGCCCCAGCCAACAAAATTACCATGCAATGTCATTCCCAATCCACCCTTCCTGGAATGAGAGCTAGACCCTGGGAACGAGGTTGATGGCTGCCAAAAGTGATGGACTGTTTGAGCAAAAGTTAAGAACTTACGGTCTCCAGTTCCTTCAATTGAAAATTCATTCATAAGATGAGCCAGTTCCTGTCTTTGTTCCTTCTAAAAAAAACATAACAGAGCATTTCACTTACATGGCCAGCACACAAGCAAATTTACTGGAACAAAAGGATGTGTTTACATAAGAAAAGAGTTGAACTCCCACAGGATTGTTTTGCTACACCAACATGGCTACCGTTTCATTGTTTTGGAACACCAATATGACTTCCGTAACCTCATGTGAAAAAGCTCTATACACTTATTTTAACCTTTGCACATTCTCAAGATAAAAAGAAAGGATTCTCTTAGCTGATCTTATACATTTTACTCAGTTGAGTTTAGGAGAATTTAATTGTAACATTTCCTTGCAATAATCAGGTTAAGTGTTTGACCATAGAAGCTACTGGTGTTGCACACCTGTGCCCATTAACAGAGATTACATATCACATTCACAGTGAAAAATATTTGACTTTCCATTAGCTAAATCAGAGTTCTTCATTGCTTGTTTGTACATGTTACCGTTGAAAGAAAGCTTCTTTACCATATATGTACGGTTATCTTGTAAAAATATTGTGAAATACAAAATATGACATATTATCACGTGGTAAAAGAAAATAAGTAAATATATTTCAAGTTTCTCAGCTACAGTTACCTTTGTGGCATCTATTTTGATAACTCTGTGGGGAGCCTCTTTGCGGGTTTGGATGGCTGCTTGCCTGTAAGAAAAAAGCATTTGTAAGATGAACAGAAAATTCTGTTCTCACCTGGATGACCTCATAAGCCTTCGTGTTGGGGTTGTCTCCAATTTGAGAATGTATGTCAGCACCAAGCAACTACAGTAAAAACTAGCATGTAAGAACCTACATTTCTTGAAGTCTGGCAAAGTAGGTTCTTGTATTTTGGGGTACTTATTGGCAATTTAAGCAAAGTAGGTTCTTAATTAGGTTCTTAAGGTTACTTCAAACCTTCGCGGGAGTCCTCCAGAAAACAATTTGTACGCGTGCTGTTTTCAAGGAAACCCCCACAAACTATATATCAACAGAAATGCCACAAGGAAAGTATTTAAAATAAAGGAATTCGCCGATACGCTTTTGTTCCATATCTATCGGTGAATGTTCTGACCAAATTTCATGGAAAACTGTCAAATCTGCATACCCTATTAATTCATTTAAAGAGAAGGGATTCTCTCGAAAAATGAGTGTGAGTTTTCACCTTCTAAAGATTTATAAACATATCACGCCTTCACAGAGGAATGTGTCAACTTGAAAGCCACAAGCCAATGAACAGAACCCCTAGCATTCACAGTATGCATACTTGTGCTTCGCGGACATTAATTTTCTTGACCAAAAAAAAATCGACCAACATAGCCCCGCGAAGGTTTGAAGTAACCTTAAATTCAATGAAGGAGATATAGTTGTTACCTATATATTTTATATAATATTAGTATTTTATATTTTATATTTGCATTTATGTTAGTGTCCCCAATTAGTTATCTTTAGCTAAATACTCCGACACTCAAATAAAGTTTATGTATGTTTATATAAGTAACCAGAAAAATAAATAAACTTGGGTTTGATCCCTATATATACAGTATTTCTTCACAATTCAACCATGTATTTTCTTGTAATATAAATTTGCAATCTCAAAGTCACTCTCCTAGGTTAAAATGTTTATCATAATCGAACTGCAGCCCACATATGAGAACCTGCTTGATCTTGCTTGCTTAAACAGGTTTTTATATCTTTGGGTATTAAAAGGGCAAATTATTAAACCACTAGGACCTTACATGCAGATTTTTACTGCAACTAACTCTACCTGTAATCACCATCTGCAATAATCTTTGCATTTTCTGTCAAGTGCAACTCATTAAATAATAATTAAATGTGGCTAAATATGATTTAGGCAAAGTTAGACTCAAACCAATGCAGTCAGCGGTTTCCCCTTTTACGGTACGTGACTTGCGGGGCGGCCCTTTG